TGTTTCCTCTCCACCTATCCTCTCCTCTATCCCTCTTCTATCCGCCTCCCACTCTCTCCCTATTTATTTCAAAACCCCCTTCCCCTCCCCCTTTTCTGATGAAGGGTCTAGGCCCGAAACGTCAGCCTCTCTGCTCCTATGATGCTGCTTGGCCTGCTGTGTTCATCCAGCCCTGCACCTTGTTGTCTCGGATTCTCCAGCATCTGCAGTTCCTACTATCTCCCCAGAACATTGTCTGGCTCTCTGGGATTAACAGTCCAGCAATTATACCACTAGGCCATCACCTCCCCTGTCTAGTCAATGCACATGCCTATTACAGACTCTAGTTATGTATTGGAGTTTTTTTATTCTAACTGGAGGCATGTTGTTCCCATTTCAATCATTGGTGGGGTTAATTTTAGAGCATTAGCAGGAATTTCGTGAAATCACACTCAGAATGATCTGTCACCAACACTAAACGAGCACCAAGAAAGAAATACAAGAGCAACGTATGTGTTTTTTTTGTCTGTGCATGTTAACAGATAGAAGATGATGTGGAGTATCTGTCCTCAGCCTTCATATCCATGTCCGATAGGTGAGGCTCTGGCATCTTTTTATGAGTCCATGGGATATAGGCATCACTGGCAAGGCCAGCATTTATTACCTATTCCTAATTACCCTTGAGAAAACGGTGGTGTGCCATCATGTTGAATGGCTGCAGTTAGGGCACAAGTTCCAAAATTCCGACCCAATGACAGTTTAGGAATGATAATGTAGTTCCAAGAAGGAATGGTGTGTGGCTTCAAGTGTTATCCCATAATCCTTCTCACCTTGTTCTTCCAGGCCGCGGTTGTTGTGGGTTTGGAAGATATCGTCAACAGAATTGGCGTGTCGCTGTAGTGCATCATGGAGATGGTGCACATTACACTGGGAGCTGCTGGTGGAGGGAGGGATGGTCTAGTGGTAATGAATGGGCTGCTTTGGCCTTGAGAGCATCACTGGATAAAATTGTCCTATGGTGTGCTGAAGGAAATAAGGTTGGTTACAAAGTACTTTTGACCAAAGCATTTCGTGAGAGATACAATACATGGAAGATCATCAAAATGCACATAACAACAAATTCTGCAAAATTACTTTGTATAGCAACCTCCCATAAAAGTAACCCAATGTATAACAGCAACATTCACATTTGGGCAAGGTATAGAAAATGAATTAAACTCTGTTGTTTCTCAGGTGGACCGCCTTCTGATTCATCAACAATTGGAGATATTGGAAGGTAAGTCAGTGTGGGTGCAGAAGGACTGATGTGAAGACATCAACTCTAATTCCAGTTTGAACTGTGTTTATTGCATTAAACTTTTGCTTTCACTCTGCAGCTTGTGCACACAGGTGTTTCCATTGAATTTTTGGCCATCCTGTTTACTGTTAGGATCTTCCTCCTACCTGAGAGCTTTGGTTAGCGTTGACTCCCTCGTCAACAGCAACAAAAAGATTTGCAGCTCATTCATCCCATTGTTGTTTATCAAATGTTACCGACACACAACACCTAGAAAACTTCCCAAACAACAGCAGTCTCTGATCTCTGCTGTGTGAAGTGCAGTGACTTGTTTTGAGGATATGAGAAGGCTTTCTCACACCATTCTTAAATATACGTAATTGATAGTCAAGTCTGTTCGACTGTAGTTAATAGTGACTTTTCTTTTCCTCCTGTCATGCAATTTTGGCAAATCCAGAATTTGAATTTGGAGCAGGATTAGGCCATTCAGCCCTTTGAGCCTATCCTGCCATTCAATATAATCCTGGCTGATTGTCCCACTCGGTTGCCTGCTCCTGCTTTCTCCCCCTACCTTGAGACCCCTTTAGCCCTAAGAACTGTATCTAACTACTCCTTGAAAACATTCAATGCTTTGGCCTCAACTGCTTTCTGCGGCAGAGAATTCCACAGACTCCCCACTCTCTGGGTGAAGAAATTACTCCTCATCTCTGACCTAAATGGCTGACCTCTTTTCCTTAGACTGTGATCCCTGGTTCTGGTTTGTCTCGTCACTGGGAACATCCTTCCTGCTTTTACCCAGTATAGTCCTGTTAGAGTTTTAAAGATTTCCACAAGATCCCCTCTCATTTTCTAAACTCCAGTGGATATAGACTGATCCAGACTCTTTAATTGCCCTTGAACTGAATGGCTCGTTATGCAGCTTTAAAGGGCAGTTGAGAATCAGTCCTACTGCGAAGGGTTTGGAGTTACAGGAAGGCCAGACCAGGTAAGGATGGCAGGTTTCCTTCCATGAAGGATATGAATGAACCAGATGGATTTTTATGTCAATCAACATGATGGTAGTATAAGGTAGGTGTGGAGATTAGATAGACCTTAGGTTTAGGGTAAAAGTTCGGCACAACATCGTGGGCCAAAGGGCCTGTACTGTGCTGTACTGTTCTATGTTCTATGTTTAACAGTGGTTTCATGGCCATTCTGAGACTAGCCTTTTAATTCTAAATAATATTAATTGAGTTCAAATTTCACCAGTGACTATGGTGGGATTTGGCCCTATGCCTTGGGTCTTTAGATAGTCTGTCCAGTGATGTTGCCATTACTCTACAGTCACTCCAAAGCTAAACCAAAGCTTAAACAAGATGGTCAGTTTCTCCTCAATTTTAATTGTATCACCAATACTTTAGAAAGTGACACTTCCACATAAAAGTTGAAATTCTGGTCCATCTGTGACTGTGTGCAAGACCTCTGATACTCTAAAGCCTCATTGTTTAAGCAAACATTCTTCATTTTAATCACCGCATCTCATGGTGTTTATATCCCAGTAAAGGTTAAAAGCATACAAAGGGGCAGCCAGATCGACATACCTGCGATTTGTTCACATGTCAAGCTTTCCACTCACTAATTCTGGAGTGTCATTGATAGCCTGCTGCAACTTGCATTGTTCGAGTTTGTTGAGAAATGGGTTGGCTGGGAAATATGATTTTCTGGAACAATGGAAACTATGCATTAACTAGAGGAAGAGCCCCTAGATGCTGTTTGTCTTAAAAGGAGAAAGCTGTGCCTGGGGCCTTGAGTTCATGGAAAGACGATAAAGACTCAGACAGGTCTAGATGTAGACAGAAAAGTTGTTAATGTTCCTGTTATAAGATGGGGAACAAAATTAGCCAAGGTTCCTACTTCCATAACAAGATGTCAAGGGAGAGTGAGTTTGAGCTTAACTGTATTGTCATCAAAGGATCACCTCACATTCTTCGATATTCCAATGGGTACAGGCTCATTCTACTCAACCTCTCTTCATAAGACAGTCTCTCAATACCTGGTGCCAGCCTACAAATCCTTTTCTGGACTTCCTCCAATGTTAGTATAGACAGTATTGGAACATACAAGGTCCTGAGAGGACTTAACCACGTAGATGCCGAAAAGCTGCATCTGCTTGGGGGAGAGTCTAGTAACTGAGGGCATGACCTCAGAATAAACAGTCAAACATTTAAGACAGAGATGAGGAGGAATTTCTTCTCTCGGGGGTAATGAATCTGTGGGATCCACAGAGAGGTTGAAGCTGGGTTAAGTATATTCAAGGCTCAGATGGACAGATTTTTAATCAGTAATGGAATCAAGGGTTATAGGGAAAAGGCAAGAAAGTATGGTTGAGGATGAGCAGATCAACCATGATATCATTGTATGGCAGTGCCGACTTGATGGGCCAAATGGCCTACTTCTGCTCTAATGACATGGCCTTATGGTCTTATGGATTGCTTAGGCCCAGACATTGAAAGTGACTGAAAGTACTTACAATCTGCTAGTGATGTTAGAATCAACCAAGAAGATGAGTCACCACCTTCAGGTAACAAGAGAAAACTGGGAAACAGATCTTTAAGAATTTGCATTTTTGTTTTTGCCTTTTGAGCACCCTTTACTGTAACTTGCTCCTGAATGCTCCAAGTAACCATATCCATCAACGACCCCCTCCACCATTCCCACCTCACAGCTTCCATAAAATAAATAGGACATTAATTTGTTGGCTTTCCTAAACATCCCTTACGAATGTGACCTCAAGGTGTCTCGCCTCCGGGATCATGTTAAAAACCCATCATCACCCAATCTTTAAGAGCCATGTTCTCTTGATAGCACATTGCTGTTGGCAGCTGTTGTATGTTCCTGTGTTTTCAGTCATGGTTGGATATGAGACCGAAAACAAATATGAAGTTAAGAACAAAATTGGCCAACAGATCTACTTTGCCACTGAAAAGTCTAACTTTTGCTGTAAAATAATCTGCGGGTCAAGGCGAGCTTTTGAAATTCATCTTGTGGACAATATGGGGACGGAGGTCATCTGCATGAAACGGACCTTGCGATGTCAGAGTTGTTGGTGCCCGTGCTGTTTGCAGAAGGTGAGTGGTTGATTAAAAAGACACTGATGGTTCATCTTTTTTTTACTTGTTTGTCTACACATGTTAATCCACACGTTAAAGTCTGCCTGTTCTTGGTTGATGAAAGTGTCATTGATGTGTGTGTTTCTCTTTCTCTCTCTATCACCCACTTTTGCATCCCAATGCTCTTTTCTAGTCATTGTGATCGCTTTGGAGTCTGGTGTTTCAAGTCCCACTCCTGAGATGAGAACAAGATCTGGGATGATAGCTCAATACAACACAATAACAGTGTGGCATTGTTGGAGGTGTTGGCTTTGATAGTCAAGAGCCTGTAAACTTTCAGAGCTGACTGTAAATATAGGGAAGTGTATGAAGTGGGAAGGGTGGCAGGTAGGAAGCGTTCCAGTTGAGTAGGATTCTGGATGAGTAGGGTGCAAGGTGGATAGGGTGTCAAGTGGAAAGGGTTTCAGGTGGGTAGGGTGTCAGGTGGGTAGGGTGTCAAAGTGGGAGGGGTACCAGACGAGAATGGTGCCAGGGGAAGACGCCAGGTGTGTAAGGTACCAAATAGGTAATGTGCCAGGCCATGAAGTGTCCCAATGAAGCGATTGAGTGCTTAGGGTGGTTTGGTGTGATTTGGGGGTGACCAGGTCTGTTGAGGAAAGAGGGAGTGTTGGGTCTAGAAGTGAGAGGTGGTGTCAAATCACAGGCGGAGAAGCTGTGTAAGGTCCTTGAGCAAGGGGTTTTCTTAGGTCCCAAAGGGAGGGGGAATGTCAGGTCCTTGCAGGACAGAGAGTGTTGGGTCAGGCTCCAGTTGTTGTATGGGGAAAGGAAGGAAGTGCCATGACAGAATGTGTGTGTGTGTGTGTGTGTGTGTGTGTGAGAGAGAGAGTTTTACAGCTCCCCATTAAATAAACTTAGTTTCTGTGTGTCTAACGTTTCCTGAGTGACTGCCATGAAACTCACAAGGAATTCCCAGTGGAATCTTCAATTTCCTGTCAATTCCCTCTAAGTTAGCTGTGCATGGGAATCTCCAACATACAACTCCCATCAACGTTACGGAAAAGACTCCCTGGTCATCCAAAATTTACAGGTGTTATTTAATTTTTTCATTTAAAATACAAACAATTTGTCAGTTCTTTCTACGTATGAATAACGTACATAGAGTGGTGAATTGTGAAGGTTATTTGACTGAGGTTGGGATTGGGAAAATGCAGTAAGAATTGCACATTAAGCTCACATTGACTGAAAATCATTTGTTAATTTCAACACTTGAGAAAATAAGTTTGATCCAGTTATGTTCCTGTCAACAGAACAGTTATTTTTTTAATGGTGATATATAGCTGTCTGATTGTAATGGAGGTATCAGTGAGGCAGTTTTGAACTGAAAACTACTTTAATCACCTATGTAATGTTAGATGGGATTGTAATATTCTATACTTTGCATCATTTTTGTTTTCCTTTCTTTGCTCTGATCTCTTTCATTCAGTTAGAAGTGCAAGCCCCACCAGGTGAACCAATTGGCTACGTGGTCCAGAAATGGCACCCATGCTTACCCAAGTTTGTCATTCAGGATAAAAACAAAGTTGCTATTTTGAAGGTCCATGGCCCGTGCTGTCTTTCCAGCTGCGGTCATCCAATTAAGTTCAAGGTAAGCTTTTCAATGAGATGTCAGAAGTGAGTATTTGCATTAGTCCAGCCAGTACAGAGAGGTATAGATAAGGTGAATAGCAGGTGCCCTTTCCCTGGGGTGAGGGATTTCAAGACTAGGGGACATATTTTAACGATGAGAAAGAAAAGATTTTTAAAAAGTCACGAGGGGCAACTTTTTTGCACAGAGAACAATTCATGGGTGGAATAAACTTCCAGAGGAAGTGGTGGATGTGGGTACAGTTACAACATTTAAAAGACGTTTGCATAAACACATGAATTAGAAAGATTTGGAGCGATATGGGCCAAGCACAGGCAGATGGGACTAGTTTAATTTGGGATTACGTTCGAAATGGTCAAGTTGGACCAAAGAGTCTGTTTCCGTGCTGGATGGATCTGTGATTCTATAATAAGATGAAGAACTGGAATTCTCTGCCATAGACTGGGCAAAGTTTTGAATATTTTCAAGAAGGAGTTAGTTATAGCTCCTAGGACTAAAGGTATCAAAGGGCATGGGAGAGAAAGAAGGAACAGGAGACTGAGTTGCATGATCAGTCATGATCTGTTTGAATAGCGGAGCAGGCTCGAAGGGCTGAATGGCCTACTCCTGCCCCAATTTCCGTGTTTTTGTGAAAGATTCTCAGCAGCACAATTCTCTTAATGGATGCATTGCCTAAATTAGTCTTCATTGCTCCAAATGATAGCCTTCTCTTGTTGGATGTCAGCAATGATCCAAATGTATTTCGTGATTAGGTATTGGCTACCCATTGAACATCGAAGATAGATCTCAAATGTTACATTTATTCCACAAATTTTGGTGAACAATAAGTCAGTTTCACAAGCACTGAGCAGTAGAGAACACTGCGATTTTTATAGTGTCATTCATAGATTCAGCAGGATCTCCTAAAGCAGTTTTAGAATGCAGTCAGCATTATAGAGTCGGGGCATGCAGCAGTTATTCGTGTGTAGCAAGGTCCCATAAAGAGAAATTAAATAAATGACCAGATAATAATGACTAGCACTTACTTAAATCCTGCCACAACTTCCCACTAGTTCAAACTGCCCAGTATCAGCTAGGCAATTAGAGTTAAAATGAGCTTATATAGAATATATCACACATCCTTTACCTCTAATACAAAGATATTATAAAGGCTCAGGTTCCTGATAACAATCTGGCAGTATTACTGAATCTGTGTGCTCCAGAACTAGCTTGGCCCCAGCTAAGCTGTTCCAGTTCAGCTACAGCACTGGCATCCACCTAATGATGTGGAAAATTTTCTAGGTATGCCCTGTCCACAAAAAACAAACAATGCCAACCCAGTTGATTACAGCCTCCTCTGGCAACTCTCAATCATGAGACAAGTGATGGAAGGGATTGTCGACTGTGTTTTCAAACAGCACTTGCGAAGTAAATAACCTGCTCACTGATACTCAGTTGGGTTCACAACTTCTGATCTCATTGCAGACCAGCCAAATATGGACAAAAGAGTAGAGCTCCAGGGTTCAGGTGGGAATGACTGCCCTTGTCCTCAAGGCAACGTTTGACTGAGGATAGGACATCTCAGTAGGAGTTCCTCAGGGCAGTGTGCTAGGCCCAATAATCATTAACTGCTTCCTCAATGACCTGCCCTCAGTCATAAGGTCATAAGTGGGCAATGATTGCACAATGTTCAGCGACCCCTCAGAGGCTGTGCATATGCAGCAAAACCTGGATAATATTCAGGCTTGGGCTGATAAGTATTAAGTAATATTCATGCCACATAAATGCCAGGCAGTGGCCATTCCCAAAAGGAGGTCACCTAACACTGCCCCTTTAAAAACAATAGTATTTCCATTACTGCAACTATCAATATCCTCAGGTTTATCATTAACCAGAAACTGAACTGGAAGCGCCGTAGAAGTGAGATAACAAGGTGTAGAGCTGTAGGAACACAGCAACCAAACAGCATCAGAGGAGCAGGAAAGCTGACGTTTCGGGCCGAGACCCTTCTTCAGAAATGGGTGAGGGGAAGGGGTTCTGAAATAAATAGGGAGAGAGGGGGAGGCGGATAGAAGATGGATAAAGGAGAAGATAGGTGGAGAGGAGACAGACAGGTCAAAGATGCAGGGGTGGAGCCAGTAAAGGTGAGTGTAGGTGGGGAGTTAGGGAGGAGATAGGTCAGTCCAGGGAGGACAGACAGGTCAAGGGGGCGGGATGAGGTTAGTAGGTAGGAGATGGAGGTGGGGCTTGAGGTGGGAGGAGAGGATAGGTGGGAGGAAGGACAGGTTAGGGAGGGAGGGACAAGCTGGGCTGGTTTTGGGATGCGGTTGGTGGAGAGGAGATTTTGAAGCTTGTGAAATCCACATTGATACCATTGGGCTACAGGGTTCCCAGGCGGAATATGGGTTGCTGTTCCTGCAACCTTCGGGTGGCATCGTTGTGGCACTGCAGGAGGCCCAGGATGGATATGTCGTCTAAGGAATGGGAGGGGGAGTTGAAATGGTTCGTGACTGGGCGGTGCAGTTGTTTATTGCGAACCGAGCGTAGGTGTTCCGCAAAGTGGTCCCCAAGCCTCCGCTTGGTTTTCCCAATGTAGAGGAGGCCACATCTGGAACAGCGGATACAGTGTACCACATTAGCAGATTCTAGGTAGTTGTGGGATTCGGTGGGCTTGAAATGGATATCGGTTTCCAGGTGGTTGCTAGAGATGGAAACAGAGAGGTCCAAGAGGGAGAGAGGGTATCCGAGATGGTCCAGGTGAACTTCAGGTTGGGGTGGAAGGCGTTGGTGAAGTGGATGAACTGTTCGCGCTCCTCGTGGGAGCACAAGGCCGCGCCGATACAGCCATCCGCTTATCTGAACTCGTCCTCACCCTTAACAACTTCTCTTTCAATTCCTCCCATTTCCTACAGACAAAGGGGGTGGCCATGGGTACCCGCATGGGCCCAAGCTATGCCTGCCTCTTTGTAGGTTACGTGGAACAATCCCGCTTCCATAGCTACACTGGCCCTATCCCCCACCTCTTCCTCTGTTACATCAATGACAATATCAGCGCAGCCTCGTGCTCCCACGAGGAGCTCGAACAGTTCATCCACTTCACCAACACCTTCCACCCCAACCTTAAGTTCACCTGGACCATCTCTGATACCTCTTTCTCCTTCCTGGACCTCTCTGTTTCCATCTCTGGCAACCACCTGGAAACCGATATCCATTTCAAGCCCACCAACTCCCACAGCTACCTAGAATACACCTCCTTCCACCCACCTTCCTGCAAAAATGCTGTTCCCAATTCTCAATTTCTTCGCCTCCGCCTCATCTGCTCCCAAGATGATGCATTCCACTCCCGAACATCTCAGATGTCCTCGTTTTTCAAGGACCACAACATCCCCCCCTCAGTGGTCGAGAATGCCCTCGACTGTGTCTCTCACATATCTCGCAACTCATCCCTCACACCCCCTCCCTGCAATAACAACCAAAACAGAATCCCCCTCGTCCTCACGTACCACCCCACCAACCTCCGGATCCAACGCATCATCCTCCAACACTTCCCCCATCCGCAATCCGACCCCACCAAAGACATTTTTCCCTCCCCACCCTTATCTGCTTTCCGGAGGGACCACTCTCTCCGGGACTCCCTTGTTCGCTCCACACTCCCCTCCAGCCCCACCACACCCAGCACGTTTCCCTGCAACCGCAGGAAGTGCTACACCTGCCCCTACACCTCCCCCATCACCCCCATCCCAGGCCCCAAGAAGACTTTCCACATCAAGCAGATGTTCACCTGCACATCTGCTAATGTGGTATACTGCATCCGCTGTACCCGTTGTGGCCTCCTCTGCATCAGGGAAACCAGGTGGAGGCTTGGGGATCGCTTTGCGGAACACCTATGCTCAGTTCTCACTAAACAACTGCACCTCCCAGTCGCAAACCATTTCAACTCCCCCTCCCATTCCTTAGACAACATGTCTATCCTGGGCCTCCTGCAGTGACACAATGATGCCACCCAAAGGTTGCAGTAACAGCACCTCATATTTCGCTTGGGAACCCTGCAGCCCAATGGTATCAATGTGGACTTCACAAGCTTCAGAATCTCCCCAACCCCTACTGCATCCCAAAACCAGCCCAGCTTGTCCCTGCCTCCCTAACCTGTCCTTCCTTCCACCTATCCCCTCCTCCCATCTCAAGCCCCACCCCCATCTCGTACCTACTAACCTCATCCCGCCCCCTTGACCTGTCTGTGTCCTCTCCACCTATCTTCTCCTTTATCCATCTTCTATCCGCTTCCCCCTCTCTCCCTATTTAATTCAGAACCCCCTTCCCCTCCCCCATTTCTGAAGAAGGCTCTAGGCCTGAAACGTCTGCTTTCCTGCTCCTCTGATGCTGCTTGGCCTGCTGTGTTCATCCAGCTCTACACCTTGTTATCTCAGATTCTCCAGCATCTGCAGTTCCTACAATCTCAGCGCCGTATAAATTCTGTGGTTGCAAAATCAGGTCAGGGACTCAGAATACTGCAGCAAGCAACTCATCTCCTGTCTCCCAAAAGATTGTCTACCATCCAGTCTGCGATGGAATAGTCCATTTTCTCCTGCAGGAGTGCAGCTCCAACAACACTCAAGAAACTTGAAACCATCCAGAACAAAGAAGCTTGTTTAAATTGGGCAACTCGTTGATCATAATGATCATTCGCTCTTTTCCTTACTGGTGCAGCAGTCTGTACCATCTGCCCCGAACAGCTCAAAAAGCACCTGCAACAAACCTGTGACCTCCAGCAACTAGAAAGTTGATTGCAGCAGATGCATAAGAACACTATCACCTGCACATTCTCTCTCTGGTGCCAGGTCACAAACCAAATGGATCTATCAGAATTCATGACGACTTAACATGTCTGAGTATGGCAGTACAGTGAGAAATCCATTGAATGACAAAAGTGTAGTTAAACTTGTAAACATTTCAATCTTCATCAGGGTGAACAAAAACGATAAATTATGGCAACTTCCAGTAGAGCAGTAGTGCAGTCTACC